GTATGGGGAGGGAGGGCTGGATAGAGGGGTGCTTATGGGGATGGATAAATGGGTGTGAATGGAGATGGATGGATGGATAGATAGATGGGTAATGTATGGGGAGGGAGGGCTGGATAGAGGGGTGCTTATGGGGATGGATAAATGGGTGTGAATGGAGATGGATGGATGGATAGATAGATGGGTAATGTATGGGGAGGGAGGGCTGGATAGAGGGGTGCTTATGGGGATGGATAAATGGGTGTGAATGGAGATGGATGGATGGATAGATAGATGGGTAATGTATGGGGAGGGAGGGCTGGATAGAGGGGTGCTTATGGGGATGGATAAATGGGTGTGTATGGGGATGGATTGATGGGTAATGTATGGGGATGGATGGATAGATGGGGCATGTATGGGAAGGGAGGGATGGATAGAGGGGTGTGTATGGGGATGGATGGGTGTGTATGGAGATGGATGGATAGATGGGGCGTGTGTGGGGATGGAAAGATAGAGGGATGTGTATGGAAATAGATGGATTTCAAACCATGCCCCCTCCTTTGGATCAGGATTTTGGTGCAGGCCATTACACCCATCACCCCATCTTGAGCCACAAAGAGGATAATGACCTACTACTGCTACCAGCCAAGGGGGTAACTCTTGTAGCTCAGCTGGCAGAGGTGCACGCTGAAGCGCCTGGGTTCAAATCCCGTGGGGGTGGGAAGTTCATGCCATGGATCGGACCCTTTCCCAAGCTAACGTCCCCTCCCCAGATCATTGAGATGGAAATGGCCTGTTAGTTCCCCTCCTCTGTCTCCTGCAGGGTCTCTGCATGATGGTCTCCTGCTAAGGGCCGTGTCTGGCCTCGCATGGAGCATTGGGTCTTCATGAGAGGCAACTCCCCAGCCTGGGCTTTTGACTGTGCCAAAGCCTCCAACAAGGGAGAGCGCTAGGTAGGCAAGGAAGTGGGCATCAGGAGGGGAAGGATAATACAGACCTTAATCTCCCTTCTATGCAGATAACGATCTAGGCGCACAAGAAGGGGAACCATGCTGACCAGCTGGGAAGCCATTAGCTGCTGGCAGCGACAGCCGCCCCACGCCCCGTTAGTGCTGACGGCAGATCTGCTGGTATTTCCAGCCGCTTGGGCCCGGTCTCTGGTTAAAAAGGAAGCGGGGAGGGACAGTCTGGCTCTTGTGAAATGGGGAGCAGAATAAACTGGGAGCTAGGGGCATAGCAGGATAAGCATCTGCATAGATCCCGTAAGCTCTTTGCATGCTCTGCGGGGAGCTTTTTTGGCAGGGTGGGGCTTACTGGCTTGGATCCTGGGGGTGTTTGTCTCGTCTGAGCAGCAGGCTACGGGGAGGGTAAGGGAAGCGTTCCCCACCCCATCGCTCGCTGCTCCCTCACCTGTGCTGGGCTTTTCAACAGCCGCTGCACCCCACCCCAGAGGTGGCTGCATGTCAGAGGTTGGTGAAGTTAACCCCGATCTGTTGCTTCATGAGGATGGCCATGATAGGGGTTGTGAGGCTTCACTGGTATGGTCTATAGCGTGACCATGACTTGAGCTCCGTGGCTGGAGGGCGCTAGAAAGATGCTAAGCGTGGTGACAAGTCCATGGGCTCACTATGCTGTGTGTCACAGTGGGGCCCGAATGTGCCTCCTTCTCTTGTGACAGCACTAGGCCCCCACCGATTTGAGCTCAAGGAGAATCCCTAATTGCTGCCAGCAGTATAGGGTGTATGACACAAACAGAGAGTTAAGCAGCCCTGATTCTGTCCAGTAGAGGACAATGGTGCCACCTCCATGCTAGCCACTTCATGACACACATTACATTTTCCTTGGGTGATCTAGGCTGGGGCGTCCTGTCCAACTTCTCCTGCTCTTCCCTTCCCTTGGGGGCTCGGGGTGAAAGAGGATGCGCCGGGCTCTGGGTCTTCCTGTCCTGGTGCAGAACTTTCCTGCATCCCTTTTTATCCTGATGATTTGTTTGTTCCAGCCCAGGGGGGAGGGGGAAGGGGGTTGTTGTCGATGCTAAAGCCCTTCCTTTGATCAGCAACATTCCCGTGGTCTCACTGTCAGCACCCCTCTGCCCCATTGTCTGCCCTTCCCTACAGCACCCGGGCTGGCATTTCCACTGTCAGCTCCTGGGCCTCTGCCCAGCCATCAGCTATTGTTGTCTGCAAATCCCGGTAAAGCCCGGCTTTAGCCGACAGATGGTCCAGAACCTCAGGCCTGCCGAGTCCTGCAGCTGCAGACTGAGGGCCGCAGGGCCGTGATCCTGGAGGCACCGGACCCCCTGTCCCCCCCCCATGGGACT